AAATTTATTTACAATGTATATTTATATAGGTGCCTATGTCTAACATTAAATGAAAATCCCGTGCATGAACAACAATTGCCATGCACGATCGTCATTCAAGTAATCGTTTAGTGAGTAATGGGCTTGAAATAAAATAAACTTGAAAGTATTATCATCAATTATCTGGTACCCATAACACAAGGTCGTTTTAGCTTTGTACCAGACGGAGCTGTATGAATTGGTCTGGACAACTCACACAGCTCCGTCTGTACAACTGTACTGTATTGTTATAGTAATATTATTATTGTTATAGGTATATGATTGCTGAATTATCGTTAACGTACACTACTCTCAGACGTGAATTATTTCAACTTTGACCAAGCGGAATGTTACTTTCGTACGCTACGCTCGTCACGTACACAAGGGTTGTTTGTAGGGTAGCCAACTGTCTTGATTTAAGCAGGACATCCCAATTTCAGACCACCGTCTTGTCAAAGTGACTGGTAACGATTTATGATTTGTCCCAATTAAAAAAAATATATAGTCAATATTTTCGCCATATTATTTGCATAGGTTGCACGAAGTGGAACATGGCGTAAAAAGGAAAGCATAGATGTGTATGAAATAGAGAAAGAGCGGGAAAAACAGAAGAAATAAAGAGAAGGAAAATAGAATAAGACGGAGAAAATAAATGTAAATATTGGCAGATAGAAGTAAAATTATTTGCTCCCACTAATTTCTATATTTATTACTGGCCGTGCGACGTGACGCGTGTCACATAGTCCATCGAACTTATTCATTAGGAGCGAAATAAAGAATCGTATACCTACTTATATTACTACCAATAACCGGTAATTCAGTGGTAAAAAAATAAAGAAAGAGGAATGGAAGGTCTGCATGAAATTTTATATAATTTGTATTAACTTCTTCTTTTTTATAATTTATACTGTATACTGTTGACTACTGACTGTATGTACTCTGCTCTAGGTTCTAAACGCTTCCAATAGCGGTGGTCAGGTTTCAGCACTGAATATTTTTATGGCACTGAATATGTATGAGACACACATTCAATAGTAGCAGAATTAAACAAAAACCGTAAATCCAGAATTTCTTAGTCCATTCTGTTTACCTATTAAATCCCGAAAGAAACTGTAATAGTTTTGGTCAGCCTAACTGTTTGATCGACGCCGTTTCATTCATTTATTCATAAATTAAGATCCGCAACTTTGTTGGTGAAGTTCTTGCCATTTTCCTTTGCCTTTGCCACGACTCCAACATTTTCCTTGATCTGATAGACATAGCTGTGTGTGCATGTTATGCGGAGGAACGAGGGTCATGTCTTATGAAAAGTGTATAATATGAACGTGGTTGGATGAAAAGGGAGAGGAAGCCCTAAAAAAATGGATGGATTCTGTGAAGATCATATGAATAAAAGAAGAGTATACTCAGATATGACGGCCGATAGAGATCAGTGGAAGAGAATGACATACTACGCCGACCACAAATAATGGGATGAAGGCAAGGCAATGATAATGATTGATATAGCTGTATCTGATGGATATTCACTGAATATAACAGTAAATACAATTTATTATTGATTTCATCATACTTTCAACAAGAACAATAATTTTATATGTGATAAATTATACTTTTATTCCACAACCAGTCTAATACTGTTTTGGTTTTCCCTTCCCTTCTATACGGGCAACGGCACGTGCCTGCTTACTGTACAATACACAATTGCCTACACATGCAATTTCACCTCAATGCATTTCACCTCATTACATATCTTTCAGTAATGAAAATCAGTGTTCGAGTAGCATTCAACCAAGGCGGTTTAATTTAGCAAAACCCCCTCATCATTAATCAATCAATATATCAACTAATATCATTATCACGGAACTGTGGGCTCGAACCTCCACACCCTCTTTCCTTCTATTCTATTCTATTCTCTAATATATCTGAAATCACTCTTTAAGTATTTCACTTGTTTTCGTGTTTAATAATAGTGATTACCTAACAGTGACCAGGTAATATCGTTTGTTTGTTCAAAATATGGTTAAACAACTCAAACAAGATAGATAACTTATCGGTCACTACTTGCCACCAGGTCAGGTAGGTAGGCCATCTGTTTTTTTCTGTTGGCGGTATAATAAAAGAGTATTAACGATTATTTACTACTTTATTTAGATATCTTGGTATTTACTTTTTGTCTACATTAGTATTATAAAGTTTTATAACAACGCTTTGATTTGCTTAATGTAACTGTGCCTAGATCTTTCACTCCCACTCTTTCCATCTATTTTTCTGTCAATAATAAATTTCATAAATTCTTCATAGCGTATCAAATATCCTAAAACTTTGCCTATTTATTTATATATGTGGGGAAGGGGATTGTTAATAATGTAGACTAACGATCCCATTTCTAGCAATGAACCATTTCAGGTTGGCCTCCACGCGGATCCTCCTGGAAACCTTCATGTTAAATTCCTGGTGAATTTGCCACGATGGGCTAACTAACCTGACCTCATGTTCATCTTATCATCCTCCACTTGTGCCCCGCCAGCGTAAACCGTTAGCGCAGGCGAGTGCACCATTCCATTTTCAAACACAAAAAAATTAAAAATATACATATTTACATAAAAACATATATTATATTTATGTGTTATTATAAAAGCCAGATACGACTGGATAGTATCTAATAGGTAATTAGGTACATTAAGTACACATTATCTGCGTATAAAACTACTGAACTGTCTAGATAAACATTAGATATACTTATCCAATATCAAAAACAAAGAGTTCTATATTACAGTTATCTTTCTTAACTATTATTAATTCTTGCTAAGCTATTATTATTTATATGTTGTAAACAAATGGCATTTAATCTACAGTTATCCATGTTAAAGTCAGATGACGAAGCTGCGTCTATTCTAGGTTTAAGTAGCAACAATCAGTCAGCAACCTAGTCTTCTTTTTGCTAAAGATCTCATTTCTAGTAAGTAGTAGTAGGGTCTTGTTAGTAAGGATTGGTAGTCTAATTTGTAGCTATATTTTTACAGGAAATTAGACTACCACTATAAACCTCGATGGACTGAGTAACTTTGTTGAAAACATTTTATATATCATATTTTATTTATTATAAATAAATAAGTATAATAATTGTGATGGTGATAACAATAATAATAATATAATTATTATAATATATGTAATTCTTCGGCTTTGTAATAAAAAAATTGCATGCCTACTGAAAAAAGGCATATTACAGCACGGCAGTGCTGCAGGCATGTTGATATCACTGTGGCTTAATTGTTTCTGTATATGTATCTGTAATGCAAATAATGAATATACTCATGTATACAAATGTTTGTACCATGCGAGGAATCGAACCCGCGGCCATCGGAAGTTAATCGGTGTGGTAAACCGCTAAACCCCCAAGACCGTCAGTATTATAGTTATTCATGTATTTCTTTATATTCATGGGTAGTTTTCAACCTTTCGTATTCAAGAATACGATTAATGTTAATTAAATTTACTCAACTTCATCTTGTAAACTGGTAAATCATTAGCATAACGGAAATAATACAAGTTACTCTACTAGGTATTACAATAGAAAATTATGTAATGTTACATGGTGTAATGGAAAACGAACGTAACATTTGTGCATTTCGCGGCGTGATCTCGTGACGGTGGAACATTAGTTGGCAAGCTGGCTGATATCAAACAATCTCGACTCTCCCACCTCCATCACCTGCCATTGTCGACCATGATAGTAATATTCTTCGTAACGACCTCATATATAAAGTTTTGCGACAATTTGAATATACTATAACTAGGCTATATTTCCTGTTTCAAACTTTAATCTTTGTTCAAACTGCTTCGATGTTACAATTATTGTTCAAATCTCTATTTAAAAATAAATGTTTATGGTACTTGCTGATACAATGTTTTTTTAAACAAGGTAGAAATTGTATTGTGGAAAGTAGTTTGCAAGTATCTTGATGGAGTCCGCGGTCTGCCTATTTACTTCCAACGGGTTCGATTTCTCGGACGGTACAGACCTTTGGATTCATGACATATATTGGTCTGGTTTCTATTCATTGTTTTCATTATTTATGTATTTACAAAAAATGTAACTATGTATTTGTAACAGTTATTTTGTACCGATAACACAAACCTTTCTTAGCTTGAGACTAGATGGCGATTGAGATATGTAATAGCCGGACCTAAGAAGGTCTTTGGAATATGTGGTAATCATACAGACAAACACATTCACATTTATAATATTAGTACGGATTAGCGATTCTGTGACTAATATAAGTAATACGTAAATTCTTTATCTTTTTGATCTTATCGAGTATATCAAAAGACTTATATATGTATTTGCTTCATATGGGATCGCATGAAGATGATTACTAAAATAAAACAGTAATAAAATAAAGATTCACTGCTATGTCACAATAAAATGTGTGTGTTGTATATGAATTCGTTCGGAATATTTATTGAATACGGGGTTTGAAAAAAAACAGGGTAGATCCCTGTTCCCGATTAGACAGTGATGGCATGACTATCGGTTATTCCCACTTTTGAATGCACGACTACATATACTCGTACCTACAATGGTTTACAACGGATACACTTCTTTGCACAATTTTTTTGTGTAACGAAGTAATTCTCCCCATTTTTGTTTAGGGGCTTACGTACATCTCTAAAAAGTCCATATGGTTACTTAGGTTCGTAATTTTTATTAGCCACAGCAGAAATTAAGCATAATATTTTAATTAATAAATAATCACCATTTACAAGACCTAGTAAATGATTTAGGTATAAGACTTAAGGTTTTCAATGTATGTATGTATACATTGAAAACCATATTCAAGAAAAACATTGTTAAAAAAAAGAAAAATTGTTACTTAACATGTTGAATATCAGAATCTTCAAGTCATTTATAGGAATGTAGTAATGTGGTACGTAATATTTAACGAATACGGTAATAGTATTAATAAATGATAATCACTTACCGGCATGTTTTCCTTCCCAAGCCCACGTAGTCCGCCCTCCGCGCCCGCCGCCCTACTGCCACGAGGAGCAAGCCTCCACTGTGCCAGTTCACCACCTGGCCCCATCTGAAGCCTCTTCGCGTGCAAGGCACCCTCGCCAGTATCATCACTAACTTGAACCCTAGAACTACCACGTACAAAGTCCAAATTTCCGTCTGTGTTGCCACTTCGATTCCCATTCAAATTTGATGTTCCTTCAACATTGTCTCCAGTTATAATAATCGTAGGAACTATTTTTCGATTATCTGTTTTATATCCGCCAGTTATAGGTCGTATATTAGAATGGGGGACATCTTTAAATTTTTCTTTCAGTGAATTAATGACTGCTTTTCTTGCTTGTTCGTACTTCGCTCTAGATAGCTGCTCCCTCCATTTCTTTAAAACTTTATCCTTCGGGTCTTTAATATCAGCGTTCATTGGATTTTCAAATATTTTTAATGCAATATTTCTTTGTGCATTAAGTGCATCGGTGCATGTCGATTTGTCTTCGAAGGATTTTTCTATACCATTATGATCGGTAGCTAAAGTTTTATCATGTTCATAAACATTTGGATCAAAGGTGGATGTACTAGGTATACTAGATGCTCCATACTGGTCCCACCATTTTATCCCTTCAGCATTTATTGGTGCTCTTGATCTGGCCGAGTGGGGTGATTTTGGTACTTCCTTCATCTTATGCATTCATATCAGTTTTCGTCTATATCTTATTTGGCAACATTTTCAATTTGTTCAAGTTATGGAAAAAAGAAACTCGCATCTTGAAATCCATCTACGTTTGCTTTCCATCAAGACTACAGCAAGACTAATTTTGGAAAGTCTATCAATTAAAATTACAAGTCATGTTACATTTCATCTATTTTTGTTTAATATTTCTCTTCTCTATCTATTTATGTACAACTGTAAGGGACCGAAATAGTCGAGTATCCACAATTAGGTGAATCTATGTAAAAATAACAACAATGCCTTTTGTATTCCTTATTATTAATGATGCACTATTTTTCTTTAGTAGGTCAGTAGCATGTAAATGGTTATCTACGAGTCATCATTTCGAATCTAGTATACATATGAATACATATGCCTTCGTTTCTAATAGCACCTTAAATATGTATATACAAAAATTATAGAGTAAAGAATGTAGTGCTTGACGACAACAACTTCCACCAATAAGTCGTGAGTTTGTCTGGTTGGCATCAATAAAACTTTGTGTGTAATATTCTTTACTGACTCTGGTGACTGTAACAGCGTTAACAAACCAAACTAATCTGAGAGACGGCGCGGCGGCATTAGAGTTGATACCAACTACATAGAATTTTTTTTATATTACGATAGTGGCAAACAAGCATACCGTCCATCTGATGGTAAATGGTTACCGTAGCTTATGGACGCCTGAAACACCAGGGGTGTCACATGCGCGTTGCCGACCCTTAAGAGTTTATGTATACTCATTGAAAAATAGCTTAATATGTATATAAGGTTTTTTCAGCTAACAATATTTGTACATCTACCTAAGTCTTAAATAGTTGCAATTTATTTGCTAAAAAATGTTTAGTCTGTTCTGCTGCTTCTGCCTATTTCTTGTAACAATATACGATTGATGAGACTGATTCCTGTAAAGATCTTTTTTCCACGACATCAATATAATAACGAAAATTATATATACTTTCCAACATTGTGATTTGAAGTTTACAAGAAAATGTAAATATTTTATGCAATGTAATGCAATGTACCAACGTAAAAAATAACCTGAGTTATTTATACACTAAAGTAACTGTTGCATTGTAACTTCAAATAATTTATAATTTTGTAACATTAGTTAATTTTTATTCTAAGATTTTGTAAAAGAAAGTCGAATTGTTGGCTTTGGCTACAACCGTGTTCCAAATTTTAAATTTCAAATACTAAAAATATATATTCTATTTCTTTTCTTTTTCTTCCTATAGTTTTCAAAATATCTATTTAGGCGTAGGTAGTTTGACTGTACAGCCTAGACTTATTTTACTTTTTTATTCTTAGAGAATGTTACGTTACATAAGAATATCTTTTATTTACTAATCTTTTTTTATAATTCTTCCATTCGCGAAGATTGTGTCGATTTTATACGCTTTCTCAGGATGGGTACAGCTCGTCCGTGCCATCATCGCAGACTGGAGGCCTGGCATATACCTACTTGTTGCGATGCGAGGAAGTATTAGATTCCTACATATAGTTAGAAAAAAAGATTAGATACATATTATAGATTAGTTAGCAAATATCTAGAGCACCCTAGTTGCGTGTGTAGCAAAGTACATATTTATTTGGGCCAAGTACAATTTACGTAATAATAACAGTTTGCCAATTTTAATAAAAATTTTTATTAGCGAGAGTTTTACAATATATTTATCTCGTACTAAAATATAAATTCATATATTTACATGAAATTAAAAGTTACGAGGTTTCCGGTAGTACATTTGACAATGCTCACATCAATGAAGTTTTAAGGGCTAGTTCTATAAAATATTCTAGTTAAAAGTAAAAAGTAAGTAGGTTTGTAATTTTAGTTTCTCTCACTGTAGTAAATATAGCAGTACTATTAAAAAGAATTACACAAACAATATTCATTTATTCAGAAAAGCGAGTAAATAAACAAATTACATTTTAACTTGGCAGTATAAGCATTGCTCTTTACCATTCCCAATTGGGCGAATAATAAAACAATAACAATATACGAGTATATCAGTATATTTTAAATGAAAATGAGTAAATTTAAACGCGAAATTAGTGATAGATATTGTGAGTAGATATTGCGCATTTGTAGAACGAAATTGTTTTCAGATTTTGTTTAAAAAAATGTCAACAACAACAGTATCTAAATATAACTGAGGGTACGAAATCAAGCGCCAGCTGTTGTTTACATCTCATAAAATTAAGTACATTCTAATTATAGTACTAAATTTAAAATGTTTTTAGCTATTATCAGAAAAAAAATGTCAACAAACAGCAGTATAGTCTCAGAAAAACTATTGATGTATGTTTCTACATACATGCGTTGTTGTCCTAATTTTAATGTCCAATAATTTTTTTTTATATAATTAGAATGACTAAGAAGCTGGCAGGTCACTCGATGGTGAATCTTGGTCTCACCGTCAGGAATCGACAGTTGCCTGTCTCCTATGTACATGAATAGCACCATGAACAGGGCATAACGGTAGGGACGGTAGGGAAAAATTTTACGTTCATAAGCGGCCTTAACGTCTCATATGAATAAATATTTTTTTATTTGATTTATGTTATCCTATGGTACTACTCGTGAACACTAAGATACAAGACTGAATTAATCATTAAGCAGCGTAAGGAGCTGTGTAGGGGTCCTGTATCTTCTAGGGGTCTTGCATTTGCTAGGAGCCCGACGCGCACATTAGAAATTGTAAATGTTACATAGAGTGAAAATTAATTCGGAATTGGATAATTTATATCTTCAACGACTATCGACACTCTAATATATATGTACAAACAGTCATTAAACGACCCATTTTAAACACTATTTTCAATCAGGGAAGAGTTCTAGAATTATAATGCCTAGCGCTCATAACATGGTTATAAAAACATAAGATGTCACTTCCGTACCCTGTAATTTTACTGGCTTGCATAACAACCAAAACAGCTTACAAAGCAAGCTGCTTTGCGGCTGAATAATTGGAGACATAGATGGGTATCTCAGACAAGCTTGTACAAAGATCACCTCCGTAAAAACAAGCCAATTAATAAGTATTTATAATATACCTGATACAATATCTGCGTGAACGAAATCACGCGAACCACTTGTTTACAAATCGTACAAAATAAGTACATTGTAACACTACGTGATAGGTAAAAAATGTTATCGTAATTTGTCGAAAAACAATTCCAGCAATGTGACAGTACAGCAAATCGAAAATAGAATCGATCATTGATCGACATTGTCAAAACGCATATCGATAAGCTCCCGGATTCTTAGATCGGGATCGGAACTATACTTATCGACGAACTTAGACACAGTTAACCCTTGAACTCGTTGCTTTGGACCAATTAATGTTGCGTAAACATTTACACGATGTTAATAGGGTTAGAAAAAACATTTAGCTTAAATAACAGTCTCATAAATGAGATAATTCGAGCAAATCTATAAATAAAATCAATATTTACGTCGCGACCATTGTAAGTTTGTAATTTCAATGTCTACGCCAAGGACCTTCGCCCTGAAGCGAACAATGTAGTTTTTCTTGATACGATCTATCTTATCGATAATTTGGATTTGCCCAAAATGTACTCGTATTATCATTAACATACTGTAATTGATGAGCGAGACAGAGAAAGTTAAATTCGTAATTTTCTCTGTCTCGCTCTCTCTCTAAGTTTTCAATTGTTAGAACACTACACAAAAATTTTGTAAGTATGAATAGTTAGATAGAAGTTTGTTACTCTTTCACGCAATCATTTAAAAAGATATTATGTTAATTATGCTAAATATTAAGTAAGTGTAAGCAATATTAAGCAGACGAAGTTGCGCGGGACAGCTAGTTTCTCAAATGAATTAATATGGAAGTTAATTGCCCATTATTATGTCATTGTTGTCACCTACTCGCAATTCTACCGTATGCCTATCGAATGCAGACATTCAATGAACCTATCACGTTCTTAACGTGTGCTTTAAAGAGGGTGTTCATTCTTGTATTAATAATACGGACATATTGGAATAATCGTAAATATTAGATATTTTATGAATCTGTTATCAGTTGTAACAGGCATGGTACTTAAGTATTTGATTAATAAAATTTGCATTCAAATAAAGAACCACCTCATATTGTGTTCGTTATACTCGGTTATATAAATGACATATGATATATTTTTTGACATTACATCCAGAGTTAATTAATTGTTTTGTAATATTTTAGTACGTAGGTATCAGGTTATCTTTACCAATAATTGTAAACAGATTTTAATTATTTCTTTTTTCATAACAAGAAATTCTATACAATCTTCTAAAAGATCTTGGCCTGTCTAGAACTGCAGTAATTCCTATACTAGAACGTGTATGTAAAACAGCACTAGCAGGCTACTATCTGATTTGTCTGAGCAGTGAAAGAAACACGAGCGGTAACGCTGAGTTTAGACTGCTCGCTCGGACTTCGTCTCGCTCCCTCTCTGTCCCACGAATCACGATGGACCCGGCACTCAAATGGTTTACTTAATGCAGAAATTAGCAAAAACCAATAAAAATAAATTACAATGATATCATTATTTAGTACTGTATAATATTAATAATTACTATAATAAAAAATATAACTATATATAGAAGTTAATATACTTCATTTAAATTAGACAGTTCAAAAATACACTTTAAACATAAATTATTATTAAATATGTATTATAGTATTGTAATGATAAAATAATAGTCCTGATTTGTATATTATAGTATATTCATTAGTTATTTGTACCAGACAGGGTTATCTAATGCATAATTATGGGCATGAAATATGATTTGCAGTGAGATATATAACCTAATTGTATAATTCTAATAGTACACAACGAATATGTTAAAGAGCCTTAGATATTTTCTCTGCGACGGAGATTTTTATTTAGGTTGATCCAATGACTATGCCAATATTGTTCAGTGTATGAAATTTTCTGCATTACAGTAAGCAATACTGTCGGTTACATTAGCAAATAAGACAATTAGGGAGTTGAACTGTTGTATATAAGTACTATCGAATGTATGTACGATAATTAAAAAAAACAATATATATCTATATACTACATTTATCACAAAGTGACCACCTAGGCAGGTCATCTGCTTGTTTGCCATACCCTGTTATACACAAATAAACATAAAAATGATTTGCTTAAATGAAGATTTTCACAAAAGCACCCATTTTATACTCAATTACATAAGTCACCTTGTAACGACGCTGTTTTGAACCCAATTATCCAAGGTGCAGTGTTATCTGCATTACGAACAAATTATTTAATAAACAACTCAATTCACATTGCAACAAAGAAACAATTGCAATGTATTCTGTCGACCTTTTCCACACGGCGATCCGAAATATTCGATAACCAATAGACAAACAAGAGTTTTGGAACAAGATTAGTGTAGATCGACCTATGACCATTACGTAAGATTAGTCTAAATGCTTATTTTCTTATGTCTTTTAATTTTACGAGGCAGACTTTGAATAAAATTTTTAGCCTCTCTCTGTCTCACCTATTTCAGTCGTAAAGCACCGTATTTCAGTATTTCAGTTAAAGGTGAGATAACATATTGAAATTACAGGGTCTCACTTTACGTCTTAATCATCCATAATGGCAAAACGGAGAACCACGTGATCCTGGTTCTCCGTTTTGATTCATTAATTCAGGTCATCATGTTATCTTGAGATGATTCTCAAGATAACAGCATCATGATCATCAGACCATGATGCTATTCATGTATATACACGACAATTACTACTTCTAAAATTTTTGCTAGTCATACTTTATAAAAAAAGCAAACATGCAAATTAGTTTCTTTTTGTAATTGTAATTATGTACGAGTATATGAACTGATATTGTACTTAGTACATATCTATTTTTTTTTAATATAATATCTAAAATGCAGTCAAGCGTGATTAATTATATGTGAATAGTACGGGAAGAACCTGTTACATATGTACATTAAAAGTCTACATATTGGCTCGACTCTGAGAAAATTTATATCAGACCAATACGGGAATTAACCTTATGAAATACAAAGCGAGCGAACCTCGGCTCAGGCCGTCGTAGTTACAATCCACGTTTGAATTAAACGGATCAATCGAAGGGAGTAAAATAGACTGTCCCATTCTGAAACACTGGTTGGGACATATTAGGCACATTGACAAGTATCACATCGTGTTCCTGTTGCTAAGTAACAGTTATGTGTAACGTGCAACTGTTATGAAAACCAGTTTAAAAGCTATATATCCACTGAATATCTCCACCTGGACATCTGATACATTAAGTGAATGTCCCAAATTTCTCTACTAACTTTCATACATACGTAGGTTATGTAACTGTTACCAACAAAATGAACTTTGTTATCTGAAAATATATTATTATTATTATATAACAAGATTAACCTATGGAAATTTTCAAGGGAGAAAGATATAGATTAATGAGTATAATTAGTAAGTTACAATTTTGCTGTGAAAAAGAACGAATGTAGATTAGAATTGCGAACCCCAAATTAAAAAACCAAGATTTTAAGTTAGAAAATCCATGACAATCCAGTTTAAAAACAGGACGCTGTAATAGAGTTGCAATAGTTAAATGAATATGTAGTGAAAATAGGTAAAATTAAACTTAATGTTTTTATTACAAACATTAATATTTTTATTACAAAAAAATATGTTTTTTTTTATTTAAAAACCCAGGACGCTGCTCAAAGAATATTTAAGACATCCCAGGACACTATAAAAATTAGGACATGTACTTGGAAATTAGGACTGTTGGCAAGTACGACAAATCGTAGCATATTTACGTAGCCAGCGTAGGCACGTTGCTACGTAGCTACGCGCTCTGTAGTTCAAAATTGTCGGACGTAGAAAATTTCCATAGAGATAATAGAGAAGAAATCAATTCTCGTTAAATTCTATGAAAACAACATTGTTCCTCTCTCTCTCCTCATTCGTGTATTACGAGATCTAAGTAATAAATATTTTATGTTTAATAGCTATATAACTAGTTCTGCTCGTGACTTCATCCAGGTGGAATTGTGACTTTGACTAAATAAAGAAAAAGTCTTTAATAATTTAACCCAAAAATGGCGATGAAAAAAAGTTTCATCGTTCTAGCTTCAAAAGTAACTAATTTCATTAAAACTGTTATTCCCTATTTTTTTTACCCCCTTTAAGATTATTTTTTAACCTAAATTTATTTTAATCAAAAGCATAAAAAAAATTTTCAAACATCTTTAAAAATTACGATATTTCCGTACAACCTGTCATCTCCCCGTTCAACCTTTTACAACCCTATTTCGCATTAAAAAGTAGATTATGTTCTTTCTCAGGGTCTAGACTATTTGTGTACCAAGGTTCATTGAAATCAGTTCAGTAGTTTAGGCGTGAAAGCACGACAGACAGACCCACAGTAACTTTCTCATTTATAATATTAGCAGTGGCACTCAATGAGGAAGTAGCCATTATTATTGCTAAAAGTTGCATATAGATGGCGTGATTGGTATCGATGGAATTCTTCATAGTTTTGCAAACGTTTTAAAAAACAAAACTGTGTTTTCAAAAATGTTTAATCAATTTTTAAAAAGTTATATATACATGTTAAAATGAAATAATGCGTTTAGAAAAGTAATTTTCATATATTTACTCATTTTGTTATTTTCCAGTACTTAATTACACTTTAATCAGTGCTAATATGGGGCTCAATGTTTTCAAAATGCTTTCATAGATGGCATTGTCGTCATTTGTATCGGCCTAATTAAATGTCTTTTTTATATTTTCCAATAATAAGCACTTAATATATTATTATTGTAAATTAACCATATAAATTTTTTTTAAGTAAATTAAAAATAGCCGAACAAGCAAGTAATACTATTTCCAATAATACTTATGTATGAAGTGTTGTCATATTAAAAATAAATACATGTATTATCGATTTTTTTGAATAATCGATAACAGGATTTTATTACAGCGCATTATTCGATGATGCTTTTAATGAGTCGTTGTGAACAGTAAATTTTCATTATTATGTATTATAGCAGTGTTCCGTTTCAAAGAACGGAATATAGTAGTACATTATTAGTGTCGTTGGTTATTTACATTTGTACTGAATAATCGATTACATAATAATTTAAAATATCGAGTACGAATCGTAGCTGTCTTCGAATACTGGCAACTGGTAAGATTAAAATAGTATTTTAAAAAAAGAGAGAAATCGACCCTAACTCGAATACCATAAAGTTGATTTTCCTTTCTCATTAATATATCATAGCAGTTTGTTTTTAACTTGCGTATGACTCTGTGGTATGATGTTTAACGTGTATTGTTATTGTACGGTGCATACATTTCAAAAATTATATTTTAATGTAGGTACATACATTTCATACATGTCAAAAATTATCTTTTAATGTAGGTACATACATTTCTTTCATACATTTCATACATTTCAAAAATGAACTTTTTATGTAGGTACATACATTTCTTTCATACATCTCATATATTTAAAAAATTATATTTTAATGTAGGTACATACATTTCATACATGTCAAAAATTATCTTCTAATGTAGGTACATACATACATTTCTTTCATACATTTCATACATTTCAAAAATGAACTTGTAGGTACATACATTTCTTTCATACATCTCATACATTTCAAAAATTATATTTTAATGTAGGTACATACATTTCATACATGTCAAAAATTATCTTTTAATGTAGGTACATACATTTCTTTCATACATTTCATACATGTCAAAAATTATCTTCTAATGTAGGTACATACATACATTTCTTTCATACATTTCATACATTTCAAAAATGAACTTTTTATGTAGGTACATACATTTCTTTCATATATCTCATACATTTCAAAAATTATATTTTAATGTAGGTACATACATTACTTTCATACATTTAAAAAATTATATTTTAATGTATGTACCTACATTTCTTTCATACATTTCATACATGTCAAAAATTATCTTTTAATGTAGGTACACACATTTCTTTCATACATTTCATACATGTCAAAAATTATCTTCTAATGTAGGTACGTACATTTCTTTCATACATTTCATACATTTCAAAAATGAACTTTTTATGTAGGTACATACATTTCTTTCATACATCTCATACATTTCAAAAATTATATTTTAATGTAGGTACATACATTTTGTAGTGGGTATGTTGTACATTAACATATAACTATTATTGTAGAACTTGAAGGTAGGTCTATTAGTTAAATAAATCAGTTGTCATCCAAACGTTGTTTGATTCGATACACATACAACATGGTGTCAGGTGTGAAAACTAATTTTAGTAAAGTTAAAAAATATTAATATTGTTTTGCTTATGGTCAATTTGCTTATGGTGAATAATGACAAGTGAAAAGATGAGTTCAAGGCGCGATGATAGCGTATTTACGGCGATACAACAACCGGCACCGATGCAACAAGACGGGAATATGGCGACCAATTGGCGTGAATGGAAAATGGCATTCGATTGTTTCTTAATTGCTTCTGGAAAAGAATCCGCTTCGTCAAAGGAGAAGTGTGCACTTTTCATGCATGTTATTGGAAAATATGGAAGAGAAATTTTTGAAGAACTAGATATATCGGATATTGAATTTGATTATGAAAAATTATGCATTACGTTTGGTGAACACTGCGACCCAAAGAAAAATGTTAATTACGAACGGCACATATTTTTCGAAACATATCAAGCTGAAGATAATTTTGATAAATTTATTGGTGCCTTAAAAATAAAAAGCAAGAATTGTGAGTTTGGATTATTAAAAAACAGTTTAATATTAACTCAGTTGATACGTGGAATTAAAGATGCCCAAATGAGAGAAAAACTGTTGGCAAAATCATCGATGTCCTTGGATGAGGCAATACAGTGGTGTCGTGCAGCGGAACGTGCTACAGAACAGGCAGCGGCGTGTTGCAGTCGACAACCGAACATCAGTGTGGAGCAGATGACGAGGCAAACGAGGACTACTTCAGCACAACGCCAGTGGTACAACCCAGGTGCTAATGTCAGGACTCGCGGCGGTGATGGGAGGCTGGCTTCGTCGGGGAGGCGCGCGTTTGGACTACAACCGCAGTGGCGCAGCGGTGACAACGGAGCGGCTGGCCGCGGCCGGTATACAGGTTCACCTGTATGTACTAAATGTAATTTACTGCACAAGGTTAGTGATCGCTGTCCGGCTTTTTCAATGAGATGTTATCGTTGTGATAAAATCGGTCATTTCGCGAAATGTTGTAAAATAAAATTTACACATGAAGTGACAGAAGTAACTGACACCCCTGAGTACAAAGAGAATAATGAGTTGTTATTGTATAATATTAGTATAGACACTTTGTGTAAACAGTACGAGTCGTGGTATGAAAATGTTATAGTGAATGGTGTAAACTTATACTTTAAATTAGATAGTGGCGCCGATGCGTCTGTCATGTCTTTATTTTCTTATAATAATGCAGGATTTAAGGAATGTCAACTTAGTAAGTGTGCCACAGTATTAAGAGAAATAAGCAAAAATAAATTGCCCGTGATTGGTTACTTCGATGCTATGATACAATATAAACAACGTAGTTGTAAAGAAAGAATTTATGTGTTAGAAGTTAACTGCAATAATTTATTAAGTTTAAGGGCGTGTGTATGTCTAGAATTAATATTGCGGTCTAATGAATTATCTGTAAACGGTATGTACATTGATGAGTCAGTCTTTCAAGGTATGGGTTGTTTGCCGTCTGTTTGTAGAATCGTTATCGACGAAACCGTACCGCCCGTGGTAAATGCCACCCGTAAAATTCCTATTAAGTTGCGTCCTAGATTAAAACAGGAACTTGATAACATGGTAAAACAAAATATAATAATTAAAGAAGAGGGCCCAACCGACTGGGTATCGAATATTGTAGTAGTTGAGAAGCCTGATAAGTCATTACGTGTATGTTTGGATCCTAGGAATTTAAATAGAGCTATTAAACGAAGTCAATTTCTGCTGCCTACACTGGACGAAATTGCTAGTAATCTGTCTGGAGCTAAGTATTTCTCTAAATGTGATGCTAAGAAGGGCTTTTGGATGCAAAAATTGGATGATTGTAGTTCTAAGCTTTGTACGTTTAGCACGCCGTTCGGAAGGTATAGATTTTTAAGAATGCCGTTTGGTATTAATTCAGCTCCGGAAATATTCCATAATGAAATGTATAAAATATTTAAAATTGAGGGTGTCGAAGTTTACATAGACGACCTATTAATATGGGGTAAAACTCGTGAGGAACATGACTCACGATTAAGGGAGGTAATTCGTAGGGCTAAAGAAAACGGTGTAAAATTTAATAAAGAAAAATGTTTATTTGGTTCAAAACAAGTAACGTTTTTAGGTCATATTTTTAGTGCTAGTGGGATGCAACCAGACAATAATAGGGTCAAAGCTATACTGGATATTCCAACACCTATAGACAGAAAGGAACTAGAACGGTTTTTAGGCGTAACTAATTATTTGTCCCGATTTATACCTAATTATTCAGACATTGCATCTCCATTGCGCGAATTATTAAAAAAGAATATACTTTTCGAGTGGCTTGAGGTACATGAAAAATCATTTAGATTATTAAAAGATAAAATTAGCAGCGCCCCTGTATTACGTTATTATTCTCCGCACGAACCGGTTACTGTATCAGTGGATGCCAGTTCGCGCGGGCTGGGTGCATGCTTACTGCAGGGGGCAGCCGGTAGCATACGCGGCGCGCACACTTACACCGGCTGAGTCGAGATGGGCACAGATTGAAAAAGAAATGCTGGCCGTAGTTTTCGGATGCCTTAGGTTTCACCAATACGTTTACGGACACGATAAGGTTACAATCGAGAGTGACCACAAACCGTTAGAGGCCATTTTGAAAAAACAATTGAATGAAACTCCGGTCCGGCTTCAACGAATGCTATTAAAACTGCAACGTTATTCTGTACAATTAAAATATAAACCGGGTAGATTATTATATATAGCCGATACACTATCTCGCGCGGCAACGGATCGAAGTAGGGATGACGATGAAACGTATGATGAAGTGCTGATACATGTTAACACGTTATATGAAAATGTTGAAGCGAGTTCTATAATGTTAAATAAAATTAAAGAGGAATCAATAAAGGACGTGGTCTTAAATAAAGTTTCGGATTATTATTTTACAGGTTGGCCATCTAACAAAAGAGATGTAACTTCTTTAATAAAACCTTTTTGGAATGTTCACAATGAAATACATGTAGTTAATAGTATTTTATTCAAAGGGGATAGGGTTATTATACCAGATTCGTTGCGTAATGAAATGTTATCCCGGATACACGAGGGACATTTAGGTGTAGAAAAATGTCAGAGAAGAGCGCGTGAAGTCATATGGTGGCCGGGTATGTCTGCCGCCATTGAACGTGCGGTACTTAACTGTCAGACTTGCCAACGGCACCGCGCGGCCAACCCTCGCGAGCCGCTGGTGCCACATCCTATTCCTCGCCTACCCTGGGAAATCGTGGCGGCCGATATATTCGAGTTCAAAAATAAATACTATTTGTTAGTCGTAGATTACTACTCAAAATTTTTAGAAGTTACACAGATACCTAACTTACTCAGTTCATCGGTTATACATGTCATGAAAGATATTTTTAGTCGCTTTGGAATACCGGAAAAACTTGTTACTGATAACGGCACCCAATTTACGTCACAAGAATTTTGTAATTTTTCTAAGTCTTGGGAATTCAATCACGTGACTAGCTCGCCACTTTATCCCAGGTCAAATGGTCTCGCAGAGCGTAATGTACGAACTATAAAAACATTATTACTTAAATCTCACGAAAATGGTGAAGACTGGCATTTAGCGTTACTTAATTTTAGAAATACACCAATTACAGGGAGGTTTATTCACCAGCACAGTTATTAATGAACCGCCGATTGAAAACCAAGCTACCTGCTACCGATAAGTTGTTAGAATCCAATCCAGTCTCTTATAATGATAACTTTAAATATAGATTAAATAATATTAAAAAAGGCAAAAAGTATTATGACCGTGGTACACGAAATTTAGTGCCAGTGTATCCCCACGAAAACGTACGCATGAGGCAGAAAAATGTATGGGTAAAGGCCGAGGTTAAAAAACAAGAGCATGGTAATCGTTCATACTGGTTGGAAACTGAAAATGGTGGAAGGTACCGTAGAAACCGTACGGATATTTTAAAATTACCTAATTCGAAAAGCGATTGCGTAATAAATCGTAAAGAGAATAATTATTATAGTAAGTATTTAGATTGGGACGATAGTGAGACGGTGCCATCAACGAGTTCATCCTTTCGCGTAACGGGACACGGCAACGAGGCCAAAACTCAGGAGGACAATACTCAGGGTGTTCAGGTACAGGTAAAAACTACGAGCAGCGGCCGCGTAGTAAGGTCACCCGAACGATTTGTTTGTCAATAGAAATATACAAGATGCGTAATAATACATACATATATACCTTCAACATATTAGGTAGCCCTAATTATGAATACTGATTCATCTGTGTGCATACAGTATATTATTGTATAATAAAAAAAAAAAAAAAAAAAAAAAGAAAGCAAGTGTTGATTATAATGTGTTGCATGCATCAATTCAAATTAATTAAATTCATACATATTGTTATTTCATCAATGCTTAGTCTAATATTATAGTTATACTACAGCTCATTGATTACAGTTGATTCTAAAACATGTTTAATAACTATTTGATTTAAAATAATAAGATTTTAATAAAAATACGGGATAGTTAATAGTTTGTATGTTTTATAAATATTTGTAGCCACATTGTATACAGTGTACTCCTAATTTACATAAAAAAAATAATAATAATGTCTAGTGAATATAACTTTATTATTGTAGAGGGAAGATGTAGTGGGTATGTTGTACATTAACATATAACTATTATTGTAGAACTTGAAGGTAGGTCTATTAGTTAAATAAATCAGTTGTCATCCAAACGTTGTTTGATTCGATACACATACAACACATTTCTTTCATACATTTCAAAAATTATCTTTTAATGTAGGTACATACATTTCATACATTTCAAAAAGTATCTTTTAATGTAGGTACATAACACCCCATGTCAGACCCCTTGTATTTGGAAGAAACTTAAAAATAATGCCAAAAATATTAGATGAATATATTTTTAATACGAATATTGTTTTATTTTTGTTCATCAACTTTATCCCTCACTAACAATACTAGTAGTAGTACATAACCTGGTTTATACCGCTAAAGATATTGAAAGATATACGAGTAATTCAGAATGTTATCAAGTTCAAAATAAGCACACATTACTTGCTTAGATAACAGAGTAATATTACTCGTAATAAAAACATTTGTAACACCCATATGTATACTACGTATGTATAGTAAGTACTTACGCTGCGGCGCCGTGAGACTCGTCTACCTCATCTACTAACCAATAGGAGCGCGCCTCTCGTGTTTCCAGAAAGTTCGACTAACGGACGATATAGTAGTAAGGCAATGAGTGTCCCAGTGACATCATTATAATATTTTCTCGTTAAATTTTATTGTAATATACACAATTTCGCACTAAATAACGTGTTACCCCGTTACACATTTCTAATAATGAAAAACCTAGACCAACCCTGTTCACTTAATCTTACAAGATCTGACTTTAAAAATTACGATATCCTCCTATAGCCTTTCATTTCCCCTTTCAATACTTTTTCGCATTAAAAAGTAGCCTTTCTCAGGGTCTACATTATCTGTCTACCAAATTTCAATTAAATCAGTTCAGTAGTTTTGGCGTGAAAGCGAGACAAACAGACAGACTGAGTTACTTTAGCATTTATAATATTTGTAAGAATATCGCTATTAAAAATAGGGGTTGGTGAAAGACGGGTGAAAATTTAGGCGTGTATGTATTTTCAATGTAACATTATAAATAAATAAAAAATTGTCCATAATACAAAAAAATATTTTTTCGGGGTAGGCCACCCCTATGACTTAGGGGTATAAAAAATAGATAACAACCCTACCTCAGACCTGGCAAGTATACATATCAAATTTCATCAAAATGTGGGAGAAATATGGCAACTAACACTGTGATACAAAATTTATATATAAGATATAGCGGAATTCTCATTAGGGAAAAGAGGGGTACATCGTAGAATACATGAGGTATATACCAGTAAATTAATTGTAGCTAAAACCAGTCTCTTACACATAACGATTGAAATAAAAAATCATATAGCCCGATTTTGATACGTACGAGTATAAAAGTATCAAAATCGGGCTATACGTATAGCGCAGACGCGTTACAACATATCAAAAAAATAGGCATGGAATGTAAAATAAACCATAACATAATAGGTATATACATTGGCACATAAGCCATATCTGCAGAGTGTCGGCTAACGATAATATACCTACACATTTACATTGAATCTTGAATCGTCCCTAATGAGGTACACGATACAGTTACCTACATATCTATTATATACATATCTTTGCAAAACAGATGTCATGTAGACTGAATTGACTGCCATCTATTTTCATGCTTTGTTACTAAGCACCCACTAGTAATCCGAACTGCTTCAGATCTAGCGACATCTACCGGCTACGGTGGCGAAATAAAATAGCCCGAAGAATAGCCCGAGTTAGGAAGGAACCATTTTCTTGTATGGGATGGGGTATCTGTATGTAATATTATGTTATCTGTGATATTAGTAAGAATTAACTTATGACTATGACTTGTAACCGGAAATGAAATAATGTATAATTATAACCTAAAATAGTAAAGGAATATTAAAAATAATATGAACAATGTGATGTCTCATTACATTTGAGGAAAAAGTACTTTCTAAATTAGCTTTATTGTGAATCATACATTATACGACATTTATGTACTAATTAGTACATTTCCTAAAATAAACTAATTAATTTTCCTGAAACTCCTTAAGTAATATGTTTACAAAACATTATTTAGGTCGCAGTGTCTGGCCACGAGACGTCCAAAGTTCGATATTGCAATGTGTCAGTGACAATGCAGGAACTACTGGCGTTATGATGTTTACGTATAATAAAAACTGTCTGTTCATATTTTAAGGTTTCACGTGAAAATAGCTGGAGGAATAAGAATGAAATTTGCACAGAATATTGTAGAAAAGTAATATAATGAGTAGAATTAAGTAAAAATGTAGAAAATAAGGTGAATAGGGTGAGAAAATACAAAGTATAATCCCTCAAAGGTGTGAAATCATTTTGTTTATGTTTTTTACTGCGACGACTACAATTTATTTATTTAATTAATTAACTACCTGTTACTCGCTACTGCTAAACGTGGAATTAACCCTTTTTTAATAAAATAAATATTTTTTTTATAATTAAAGTAGCCTAAGTTACTCCTTATAATATTAGCTATCTGCAGGTAAATTCCCGTCAAAATCTGTCCAGCCGTTTCAATAATTATCATATACAGACAGATATTTTTTATTTAAAATTTTATATGTAACTGTATTGCAATGCTAGCAATCAACCATATTAGGTTGACCTCCATGCGATTCTTCCTGGAAACCATCATGATAAATTCCTGGTGAATTTGACACGATGGGTTAACTGCCCTAACCTCACGCTCATCTTATCATTCTCCACTGGTGCCCCGCCAGCGCAAACCATTAACCCAGACGAGTGCACCAATCCATTATCATTCAATATAAAAAACTAGGTTTAGAATAAAGGCAAGCGGAATAATACATA